TTTATTCTGGGCTACAGCCAGAACACATTTACATGCTTCGGATGTTCTCAGGCTCCGTGTCGTCGTCTTCTGTTTTTGTCAGGAATGAGCCCGTGGACAGGGACGGGCTGTTGTATACAAACCTCCTCAGTAAAGACTGAAACAAACATATTTGATGGTTTGATTAGAATCCGGTGCTCAGAGCCTTCAGACGCTCAGCTGTGCGTCTGAAGGCTCTGCCTGCAGATGACTGAAGAATCCGTGTTGGCAGACGTCGACCTACATCACGTATTAGCTTTGTTGTACTGGGATCAGTGGTGTGACTCCATATGGGCCTGGTGGTTTGATGAGCAGCAGGAGGAGAGCTGATGGGCACAGAGGAGGCTCAGGTGTGTTTTGGCTCTTTCACCTGCACAGAAACCGAAAGGTTTATCTGACAGAAAGGAAAACCCCGCAGCGTCACATGACCTCCTGAAACAATCATGTGGCGTGTTGGTGGAGCTGAGCACAGCTGCTGGGTTATCTAAGAGTCTGTAATAAGAATAATTATGCAGCAGCCAGTCAGTCATACAAACACAAACAGAAGAAAAGCTCTGAGTGGGAGGAGTTTGGTTTCTCCTCTACAAACGCAAAAGAAGCTTTTACCTTCCTCCTCCTCGTCTTCCTCGACCCCTCAGAGTCGCAGGTTTCCTCGTTTTAGGAGTGTGTGTGCGTGTTTGTGTGTGTGTGCAGATAACATAAGAGGCTCTTTAGCACCTGTTCACATAGCAACCAGCTCTCAGTAAGACATTTGGAGAAGAGGAGTGGGAGGCAGAGAGAGGAAGAGTGAGAGCCAGGCGGTGGGAGGGAGAAACACAAAGAGACTGAAATTAGAGGCTTCAAACTTCTCTGCACAAAAACACAATTTCATCTCAGTGAGAGCGAGGCAGACAGGATGAACCCCTGACCTCTGACCTCTGACCCAAAGCTGAAGCATATAAAATAAAACGGAGCACAGAAACAGCTGCAGTAAACATCTGTATGTATGCATATGGAGTGTAAATGACCAACCCACATGGCGGCATGATGCTGAATATGATGCTGCAGTGTGTGTTTTGTGCTCGCCATCAGGTGGATGATGGACGGATGGTTGGCTGGATGATAGTTGTTGGTTGGATGGATTATGGATGTTGGTTGGATGATAGTCGGATGGATGTTGGTTGGATGGATGATGGATGTTGGATGGATGTTGGTTTGATGGATGTTGGTCGGTTGGATGGATTTGGATGGATGATGGATGGATGTTGGTCAGTTGGATGATGGATGGCTGTTGGTTGGATGGATGATGGTTGGATGGATGTTGGTCGGTTGGATGATGGATGGATGTTGGATGGATGTTGGTTGGATAGATGATGGATGGATGTTGGTCGGTTGGATGATGGATGGCTGTTGGATGGATGGATGATGGATGGCTGTTGGTTGGATGGATGTTGGTTGGATGGATGCTGGTTGGATGGATGATGGTTGGATGGATGATGGTTGGATGGATGTTGGTTAGATGGATGGATGATGGATGGCTGTTGGTCAGATGGATGTTGGTTGGATGATGGTTGGATGGATGATGGATGGATATTGGTTGGTTGGTTGGATGGATGATGGATGGTGTTGTTGGATGATGTGATGATGTGGTTGGATGGATGTATGGATGGATGATGTGGATGGATGATGATGGATGTGGATGGATGATGGTTGGATGGATGATGTTGATATGGTTGATGGATGATGGATGATTTGGTTGGATGATGATGGATGGTTGGTGGATGGATGATGGATGGATGTTGGATGGATGATGGATGGATGATTGGATGGATGATGGATGGATGTTGGTTGGATGGATGATGGATGGATGTTGGATGGATGATGGATGGATGATGATGGATGGATGGATGATGGATGTTGGATGGATGATGGATGGATGTTTGGATGGATGATGGATGATGGATGATGGATTGGATGGATGATGGATGGATGTTGGTTGGATGGATGATGGATGGATGTTGGATGGATGGATGGATGATGGATGGATGTGATGGATGGATGTGATGGATGGATGATGGATGGATGTTGGATGGATGGATGTGGTTGATGGATGGATGATGGATGGATGTTGGATGATGGATGGATGTTGGTTGGATGGATGATGGATGGATGTGTTGGATGGATGATGGATGGATGTTGGTTGATGGATGATGGATGGATGTTGGATGGATGATGGATGGATGTTGGTTGGATGGATGATGGATGGATGTTGGATGGATGATGATGGATTGGATGATGGATTGTTGGTTGGATGGATGATGGATGGATGTTGGTATGGATGGATGGATGATGATGGATGTTGGTTGGATGGATGATGGATGGATGTTGGATGGATGATGGATGGATGATGATGGATGGATGGATGATGGATGGATGTGATGGATGGATGATTGGATGGATGATGGATGGATGGATCATGGATTGGATGGATGATGATGGATGATGGTTGGATGGATGATGGATGATGGGGATATGTTGGTGGATGGATGATGGATGGATGGATGGATGATGGATGATGGGATGGATGGATGATGGATGGATGTTGGATGGATGATGATGTGATGGATGTTGGTTGATGGATGATGGATGTGTTGGTTGGATGGATGTTGGTTGGATGGATGATGGATGGATGTTGGTTGGATGGATGATGGATGGATGTTGGATGGATGATGGATGGATGTTGGTTGGATGGATGATGGTGCACAGTCATTGCTGCACCCCTGCAGTCATTTTGTCGAACACGTATCGCTTTCGTGCCGTCACCGTTTCATCCTCGACGCTGTGATTTCTGTCCTCGTTCTCTTGCCACCTCTCTCTCTCTCCCTCTCTCTCTCCTATGTGTGTTTGGGTTCGGCTGCTCTCTCTCACTCTCCTCCCACGTTCGCACTCTCTGTGTTCTCGCCATCGCTCTGCTACCCCGTGATCTGCGCTGCACATGCTCCACGCCGTTGAATAATCAGAGTAATGAGTACAGGTTTCAGCTTCAGTGCGGCACTGTGTAAAAACTCATTTACGTGTGTGTCAGCTGACATGAAAGATAAGCGCCACCTACCCCCCCCTTAAATCTGGGACATACAGCTGTTATAAAGGCGGGGCCAGGGCGTTACAAACTGGAACTGAATAAACTGAACTCGGATCAGCTCTGTGTTAATTTCACCTCTTCTGTCCGAAACAAGCTGTTGTTGCTCCTCCTCCTCTTCACCAAACTCTCCTCTGATTGGCTGCCCATCAGTGTGCTTCCTGTTTGCCCACTTTCATCAATGTTTTAATGCAAATATGTTTCAGATACTCTGAGAATCACTGAAATAAGTTCTTGTTTTATTCTCGATGTTTGTCTCTGGAAACATCTGGAAGCTTATTTCACATTTTTAAAAAATCAATTAATGAATTAAAAATAGACATTATGTTGCAAACACAATAATCACATTATTGATCAGTGTTTAACATGAATGTATGATTTTGAGCTGACGTGTTACATGGAGTACTCCTGTTAGTACTGCAGCTGATTACTTCAGTCAAACTTCCATCATTGGTGGATTATTGATCGGTGATCAGTAGTAAGCATGAAGCTCTCATCCTGTTTCGTTTTTTTTCCTCTCTCACATTTCCCTCTTCATCCTCCCACTGTCGACAACGTGGTGTCGCTATGGCAACCGCCTGCAGAGAGGCGGATCGCCACAGGCCACGCCCACTGCAGCATGCTTGTCACACACACAGCAGTGTATTTTTGGAGATGTGACCACAGGTTTTGGCTGTTTCAGCAGCTTTAATTACAGCTGTAACTGCAGCAGCTGCTTCACCTCCACACTCACACACACACCCTCCTTTTCTGTGTGCGTGTGTGTGTGTGTGCATGTGCTGAAATCTCTGTGCAGCAGACTGGAGACGAGCTAAATGTAGGCCACGAGGACGTGTTAGCCTCAGAGCGGCTCGCTCAGAAACCAGACATAAAGATTTATTCATATGTATCTGTTTCACACACACATGAGTGTCACAGATAATAAAAATATCCACGGCTGTGTTTCCTCCAGCTCACTAAATCAAAGTGAGCGTGATGACATTATGATTATTATCAGAGTTTCATATGCGCCTCTCCAGCCGTCGGATCCATCTGTGCAACGTGTGACGGTTCGAAGCAGTAGAAATGTTTCAGAAACAAGTAAAGAAACATAAATGTAAAGCGGTCGCTCGGAGGGCCGCTGACCAGCGCAGCGTCACGATTCTCATCACGTCGATCAGATTTTCATGTGAGACGAGGTACCGCTGCCTCGCACTCGCGACGCTTTTCTGACCTGATCGATGGTCCAAAATTACTGTCGGGAGCACGTTCAGATTCGGTTTGAGTCACAGTTTAGACATCTGTTAGTTTTACTCGGCTACGTGTCGTAGCCTAAACCTAAAGTGTTTTTAGCTCCGCATGTATGAAATGTGTGCGCAGACAGATCACCAGCACGTCTAACTGACTGGACAACCAGATCACCTCTGATTGGATCACTTCCAAACCTGTGTCTCTGATTGGATCTGGTTGTCATCGCTGTGTTTCCCTTTATGTTTTTATTATTTATCGTTGTTTTTGTTTGGAAAAAACGTTTGTTGATGAAAAGACAAAAATGATGAGAACACTCATTGGTTACGTCAACTCGTGATGTCATCCCCCTGTTAAAAATGCAGCGGTCCATAAAAGCTGGACGCAGGTCTAAAAAATTGATGCCTTAAACCTGCGGTCTGTCGTCCAGCAGGGGGCGACTCCTGAGAGTTCCTCTGGATTAGCATTGCTGCACACGGCGTCTACCTCAAACCCGTTTCCCTCAGCCCCGCCCCCGTGACGTTGGTCGGGCCTCTGAGCGTGTGTGCGGATGTCGTGCTTCTCTCCTGGCTGCAGGCCTGTGTTGTGTTCAGGGACAGTCTGTACAGATAATCTCTGTGTTTGTGTCTCTGTGCAGAAACGCTCCTGGATGACTTTATGTTGACACATCCCATCTTCCTGGCGGCGGACAGGCTCCAGCAGGTCCTGCTGCAGCAGTATCCTTCACGCGCTCACAGGCATGCGTGCCTGGCTGTCGAGCAGTCGCCTCGCAGCGTTATCTGCTGCGGGTTCTGCAGGTTTGTGTCTGAACAGCTCCGGTGTTGTTTCGTTTCGTTTCTGCAGCGTTCCCACGTTGTTGGCATTCCAGTGACGGGAATGGGAAGTTTTCTGCTTCAGTGGAAAAACAAACTTCCATGAAACTTCCATGAAACCTCCATGATGTCATTGTTTTACCCATGATGACCTCTGACCTCAGCGGTTTTATCACCACGCCTTTGAGTTTGTAGATCCCAGGAACGGACGAATCGTGCTGTGACACCTTTACAGATATCAGCTGTGATTCTGTCACCAGAGCGTCGAGTGCTGCGGACCAATCATGCTTCAGCAGGTAAACGTCAGTGCTTGGAACAGGAAGTCCTGAAAACCCGTGGGCGTACACACAGGAAGAGACCGTCATCACCAACTGAACTACCTCAATCTCCTCAGCCACTGAGCGCGCTCTGTAGCATCCAACAGGAACAAGACTCAGACCTGAAACTGATCTCAGATCAGCTGAGCAGGACGCTCACATCTCATCTTCACCGTCAGCTCTTCGTCCTCTAACCTAAAAATGAATAAAGAGCACGTTTAATGACCGGTGCAGCAGCTCGACACTCGCAGCGCAGAAAAGCAGATTTCTGCTGCAGCCGCAGATCTGCCACAGAGAGCGATGAAGAGCTGAGAGGAAGAGGAGCAGAGGGGGGTGTGGCCGAAAGAAGAAAGGGAAGCACAGGCGGAGAGAGAGCTCCATGTTCAAGAACACGAGACGTTCAGGGACTCGTTCAGGAAGGGATCAGACGGGGGGCCGGGCACATTTAGCCTTCTTCGTGGACAGATCCGTGATCAGAGAAATGGCGCTCGTCAGGCCTTCAGTCTCGCCGCGTTGAACAGTCGTGATGATTCACCACGAACGCGAGCGTCGCTCACAGCTCAGCTGCTTTTAACTTTTCTCAGCTCTGCACTTCCTGCGTGCATTCCCAGGGGATCATGGGAACTGTAGTTCTGTTTTCATAAAGAGGATAAAAAACAAAAAGCAGCATCATCGGCCAATCAGAGGAGAGGAAAAAAAGAGTCTGTGTGAGGCAGGTGTGTGTGTGTGTGTGTGTGTGTGTGTGTGTGTGTGTGTGTGTGTGTGTGTGTGTGTGTGTGGTGATATGTGGGTCATCATGGCGGCGTCTCCAAGCTGCAGCTCTGTGAAGCTGAAACAGCTGATTATGGGTTTGTGCTGGCAGCTGTTTGTTTGTGACGACAACAACAATCACACCTGTAAGATTTGGTTTCAGAGCGAAGCTTCAAGCGAACGCCACGAATGTGTTTCCTCCTTAACTCGACTTTTCCAGATTCAGCGTGGAGGGAGATGGAGGAGGGAAGGAGGGGGAGGCGGAGGGGTGGAGGAGAGAGGGAGGAGGGAGAGGAAGAGGGGGGGAGAGGGAAGGAGAGATGGAGGGAGCGATGGACGGAGCAGAGAGGAAGCAGGCGGTGCTGACGGTGGCGTTTCGATACCTGGACACCTACAGAGAGCTGCTGCAGGAGGAGGGCGAGCGCAGCAACAGCTTCCCCAAGGTTACACACACACATACACACACACACACACAC